TTCAAATACCATGAACTGGAGTTGACTCTCAGCCGGGAGGATGCGTAGCCCGGAGCTCTCCGAAGCGTCTCGGGTGGCTTTTAAAAGCAGCTACTACGGTTTCARAATGAGAGAGAAGCGCCACACGGATCAAAAATAACCTGGGCGGCGCRTCACCTGGAGCGGAGAGTAGCTCACAAGTCATATGAGAAGATTTCCAGGTCTGATTCCAGCTCCTTCACACGACTACGCACAGTGGAGGGAGGGGGGCTTTAAACGGAGTGTCGTGTTTCCTGGTCCAGTCCAGGCCCACCGGCTGACATTCTGGCCCACAGACAAACCAAGTGCATGCCAGTCTCTCTAGGCGGCATCAGGCGCATGAGTTGGTATCTGAGCCCTGGGTTATGCAGGATGAGACTAWAAAAAGACCCTGAATGAGGCGTGGGATTTGGGTGGTAGACTTCTGGGGTGCTCAGGAGTGTTCACCATAGACACGTTCAAGTCTTATTTAAGCAACAAYAAATCTATGCTTTTAAACTTTAAAYTGTAGAAGTATTTCTGTTGCTTTATTCGGGAAGAATTAAGTTCCAAAGTTCAGATGTGAAAGTTGGATCCTTTGAGCCAAATGGTATCACCATTCTTCAACTCAAAGTCATTCCAGTTAAATCAGTTAGTGTAATTAGGCTGTAAAACAAACCTTTGTTGCTACAGCTCATCACAGTTTTTGTAAGCCTTCCCACTGACTTAGGTAAGAGTGACGCACAAGTTCCCACACTCTGTGTCACGATGACGGTGCAGYTGTGAGTGGACAGGCCTGCAGGACAGTTTTCAGAGGTGGGGCTTCCAGCAGGAAGAGGATATTGGTGTCAGGAGCACATGACATCAGCTCGGCCTCTGATCGCAGGAGAAATACTCAGTCCTTATATAAATCAAGATAAAGCCATGTTTTTATTTTCCCCCGTAGCCAGACCTCCTTTTTAAAGCTTCTCTGTAAATGTCAGAACAGCTGTCTGGATCTTCTTTTCTTTTCTTTTTTATTGACCACACACCTACTTCCTCTTCCTGGTTTAAATGAATGCCACTGCAGCTGCCATATTTATTCTCAGTGCAACACCTCCCCCACTCTGCATAAGGACCTGCAGTGCACAAATCCTTGTAGGGAGTTTGGAGTTTCATTGGGGGTGGAGGAGATAGACCTGGGTGGCTGTGACACAAAGAAACATTGCCGAAGCAACATGTTTCCTTTTTATCAAAATGGTTTCAGAATTTCTCAGAYAGTGTTGATTTTGGTTGTATAGTTTGCCTATGAGAAAATACTTATAAGCTATTTGTTGTTTAGTTATATAAGAACCCAAATATGAACTACATAGAGAGGCTAAGTGATGGGTTTGTTACTGAAGTTTTATATGTGTGTTTTGGGTCTATGCAAAACCTTTGTGTTTCAAGTGTTTGTGTGTGTGTTATCTAAATKTTTGATTGTTTAAAATGTTGATCTATAATAAATGTCTAACTCAGTTAAACACATTCCAGGGTTTGGTGTTATATTGTTGGTCTTGTTTACCCACCATTATTCAAGAATTTTTCTATAAAGGTTCTTAGATTTTGGTGTGATTCTGTGTTCAGTTTGTTTAACACCAACATACAGGCATGATGTTTGTTTAAATGTGTTCATTTTTCCTGCAGTRTCAGTAATTATTACGTAACATTTGACGAACCCCTCTTTATCCTCCTCTCTTAGGAGTCGTGTCTGTCAGTTTTGAAGAAGACGAGGAAGGGAACCTGTGCCTCATCGCCTACCCTCTTCACAGCGATTTGGTGGACCTGGAAAACAAAGACCCCTCAGCAGACTGCGAGCCCAAAAGCAAGATGCTGAAGTGGAGCAACAAGAAGCAGTCCTCSTTGCTGCTGGAGAATGACAACTACAGCAAAGACAGAGCACGGAACAGCCGGAARGAAGACAAGCTTGTGAGGTGAGGATGCTTGCTTTAACTAGRGATGTCCCGATCCAGATTCTTTGGYTCCCGATACAATCCGATTTTTTTAATGATTAGTCTTTCCGATACCGATCCGATAGCTTTGTTTGTATTTCTTTCCAAGTGATAAGGTTGGTAGTATTAAARCGAGCCCTGCTGTTCCCACCACGAGAAACATCCAATTTGCAGATTTTGCAAGATGCAGTTTCAGCATCCTTGTTTTCCATTGGAAAAGTGTTCCCACACTGGATCGGCCCGATCACATGACTAAATCCAATTCTACCCGATTTTTAAAGAATGGCCAAATCTGCCACCGATACTGAGTATCTGATCAGGACATCCCTAGCTTCAACACCTTTTTTATGCTCTCATAATAAACAAAAGACTGGTTTAGTTGAGGTTCTGTGATTACAAAGCTGATGTTTTCTTTTGTTTTTGTCATGCTGTCACCTGTGCAGCTATAACCGTGATGAGGTGCAGCAGCAGCAGGCAGAGGTTCTCTACTTCAGCTTGGAGAAGGGCAACGTGGTGCCACAGATCAAACACAATCCCTGGAGTCTGAAATGTCATCAGCAGCACTTRCAGAGGATGAAGGAGAACGCAAAGCATCGTAACCAATACAGTATCCTTTCAGYGAAGATCACCTCTGTAGTGATATGCTCTGTTGATAAGTGTTTCAGCTTGTGGGTAAAATGTTGTAAATGTGTCTGTACTGCTGTCTTTTGTGATGTGATCCTTGACTCCAGCGTCTCACAGAGTTTATCCTGTTGGAAAACCTGACGTGGTGCTACAGAGTGCCGTGTGTGTTAGACTTAAAGATGGGAACTCGCCAACATGGCGATGATGCGACAGAAGAGAAGAAAGCCAACCAGATTCGCAAGTGTCAGCAAAGCACATCGGCGTCTATCGGAGTGCGACTTTGTGGCATGCAGGTAATTCAACGATCTCAGCCGTTTTATGCACACGTTTCACTTTTTGGATCAGACGCAGCTCTGTTTGTGCTTTTGTGCTCACGCTCCTTTTATATTTCCTTCAGGTGTACCAGCCAGACTCCGGCCAGCTGATGTTTATGAATAAGTACCACGGGCGTAAGCTAACCCTCGCAGGCTTCAAGGAGGCTCTTTACCAGTTCTTTCACGATGGGCGTGGCCTGCGTCACGAGCTGCTGTCTCCGGTGCTACGCAGGCTCCGAGAGATGCAGGCCGCCCTGGAGGCCTGCGAGTCCTACCGCTTCTACTCCAGCTCTCTGCTCATCATCTACGACGGAGACCCTCCCAGGGCGCCCGCCAGGCCCAGACATAAAGGCGGAGAAGAAGGGGATGAGGATGAGCCGTCCGACGAAGAGGAGGAGGACGAGGGGGCCTTCAGTTTCCCTCACTCCTCAGCGGGTGCCGGCGTGGCCGGAGGGAGCGGCAAAAGCAGCGGCGGTCGCAGCTCGCATGGCGCCGGCGAGGCCAGCGGCGCCGCGGTGGACGTGCGCATGATTGACTTTGCTCACACCACCTGCCGACACTTCGGAGAAGACAGCGTGGTGCACGAAGGCCAGGACAGCGGCTTCATCTTCGGCCTCCAGAACCTGATCACTATAATCTCGGAGCTGGAGGACCACGGCACTGACTGAGACTTTGCTGGAGACAGTACGGTCTACGTTTTACGCATGGGCATTGCTCAGTGAGTTAACACCCTGCCATAATCCCCCTGGTGCTTTATGCCGACATGGGGGGTCTGCTTGGTGGAAAACCCAGACACCTCCTGGTTGGGTGAGGGGTGGGGGGGAGTCTGCGTGGTTGATCCTGCTTTCTCGCTTACCTGCCAAAGGAAAGGGCTGCTTGTGCCCTCCCTTGCACTTTTCTCTTTTTGAGACTGAGACTTTTTTGTTTGTTTTACATGGAAGGAGCAGTGTTGCATGAGACAAACGTCTTTAACCAAACACRTTGTAGGACTCTCCTCCTCTGGTACAGACGAGCATCTTTATTAAGTTCTCTCTGAGAGAGAAAGCAAGGCAGAAAAAAAAGTTAAACTGTACTTGTTAGGAGGCCATTGTGGTGCTTTACCTGTGATAAGACTTTTTTTAATGAACTTCAGATTTTCTGTCCCCAACAGCACAGAGCAATTAGTGGGGAAGTTTGACTAGTTACCTGAACAGGCTGACCTTGGCTGGCTGGGTCAGCAGCCTTGTAGCAATAGACAAATTAGGCGTCTGATAAGAACATTTTGTGTTTTATAGTGACCCTTGTTTCTGTGTCCACCAGGCACTTGGATTTATACTTTTTGGTGGAATATTATTTAGGTCTAGAAGAAGGGATTCGACTTTTTCATCGTTTTTTTCCCCCCTCTTGCTCTTTTTGCCTATAAACRTGATATTTTGGAAAGAGGGTTCCTTTTGGGGATTTTTTCTTATAGTTTTTTTTTCACCTGATCTTCATCATTCCTGAAAATCTGACTTTAAGAGGATATACGACAAGAACACTAATTACAAAGACTTTAAAGACTATTTATTGAAGAAGAGTTGTTTAAAAAATGGAAAGGAGCACATTCCATATTACCACTTTCATGTTTTGTCCTTCTGATGCAGTTTTTGGTTTACCTTTTTGTTGTTTTCCATACGTGTCTTGGAAAATAAAGGCATTCATTGTGGTAAAATGATATTTCTGTGTCGTTCATTTACAATAAAATCAGAACAAAAGAGGAAACGAAAGTGAAATGTGAGCAGATCTGTGCGATAAGAGGAAGCACCTTTGTGAKTCATTTGTTTTAAAAACTGAAGAAACACTGGCAACATCCTGTTAATACTTGACACCAAGCTGTGAGAAGTTATGCAAATAGATTTGTGTTGGAAAGAACCTGATGCCTTAAATAATTACACATTGATGCTGTAATAGGCAAGAAAACGTTGATCACATCGATTATCTGAAATTTCAAGTCAACTCACTGGTTCCTGGTCTGTGGAACAGGAAAAATATGCTTACATGAGAATTTCAAAGTAATAAGCTTTAAGATTTTTTTTTTACAAGGAGCACCAGTGCAAAGACTGTAAACCTCTCCACATGCGTCACTGTTGTCACAGAGTCCATCAGTAATCAGTTTAGTTTTAGCTTTTGGCTCGGCTCCTATTCGGTTGTGACAAAGGTGACTGGTTTGCTTTGAACCAGAAAACAGCTGAGATTATGTACTTTATTCATTTCAAAAAACTTCCTTYACACAGTAAAAACAAAATAGGAAGTGTTAGAAGGTGGCAGCCAGCAGCTGAAACAACTTGTTCAGCACAAACTGAACCACGACCAGTTTAATCAGCTTTGCGTCGCTGGTAAACTCTCCGTCCGCTGAAGCTCACAGAAAGAACTTTCCAACTCCTTTCAACAGCTAGGACCACCTGTTTCACCTTCGAAGGGGGCAGTGATTTATTATCCTTGAGTAAACCTCTAAAGGCCTCAAAAGGCGTTGGATCGAGTTGTACAAACTGACTTTTAGTGCTGGGAAGTGCAATGTGTGGAGAGTGACTAAACATAGGGGAAACAAGGATTGGTTAATGTGTTCAGATGTTACCAACCCACACTGGCTCTAAATAAAAACAACATTACACCACTTGTCAAACGCAAGGTTCACAGGCTAAATCTGGCCCTCGTTCACATTTTATCTGGTCCCAAAAGTAATACTTTAATGTGAAATAATTATATATATATATTTAATTTATACATTTAGTACATTCTTCTCTTGACAGCTGGCCAACTTTCAACCTGAGAAAATAAGGTTTGAATTTTTCAGTCTTTGATTTTGGTGTAAAAAGATCAACAGAGAATTGACTTTAGTTACTATTATTATTTTGTATTCTTCTCTTATTTGAAGTCAAACAATTAGATTTTAAGTAAGAGTTTTCTTTTCTTTTTTCTTAATCTGATTTGGTTGATTCTGGTAAAATGTATCTTTAAAGAGCCTGTGACGTGCATTTCCGTCAAATGAATCATTATTATATTTATGAAACTTGGCATAAWACACAAGATTTTACCCATTTTGTTATAAAACYAGCRTATTTTCTTTTGGATTTAGCTCAGCCAAAATGAAACAGGAAGTGACATCAAAGGGGAACTCGTTAAGAAAGAAACCCCTCTCACTCTAATCTTTGTTTWTTGARACATTGTTTGAACTTTGACTATTCTTCATCTCTCTGACAGTGACTCAAAATGATCTTAAAAAAACATCAGATTCTTCTCTACAGTGTGTTGTCAGACATTTTATCAACACTGCTCACATGCAGACATTCCCCTTTGAYATCACTTCCTGTTGCTTTACATGCAAATATCTCAACAACTGTTCATCTCAGTRGTGTGAAATTTGTTTTGCGTTCTGTTATCAGTGTTATCTTTCCAAAAATGAATTCAAATTCATGACAAAAGTTTGATGTCACAGGCACTTTAGGATCTTATGAGTTCTTGTCAGGGAGAAAGGCAGAACATTTTATTTCTAAAGATCTGCCTTTCTAAATTTAATATTTTTTCTTTATCTGATAGGTTATTCTAAATGCTACATAAAACACAACTTGGAAAAACTAATTTGTATTTCTATAAAATAAATGTTATATAATGTTTCTTCAATAAATATTGACAAATTGTCCGTTGATTTGGCCCCCTTGTGTAACCGAGTTTGGCACCCCTGCATTACACAGACAATCTGCTGAAAGGTTATTTTAAAAAAATCCCGGTTTTAATTTCATTGAAACCCGAATAATTAAATTAGACTGTCTACTTTTCTGTCTGTCACCCTGCCTACTCCACATTAAGTGTTTTGGTACAGAAAATGTCCCCACACAGTTATCACTGAAGAGTTCAGAGAAACAGATCACCATATGAGAGGATAGCGACGAGGCAGAGGATGTGTGGCACGAGATGAAAGGGATTATCATCTCCTGTCATCTAAAAATAGCAGCCAAATCCCTGCTCATCTGCTGCAAATTGCAAAACAGATTTATATGAAAGTGTTTTGCTCCTGAGAATCAAACATATTCAGATAGAATATGTCTCTTATTGTTTCAGAGTTTATTTGTGCTGTTTTGTAACACTTACATTTTGGTGATAGATAGATAGATAGATAGATAGATAGATAGATAGATAGATAGATAGATAGATAGATAGATAGATAGATAGATAGATAGATAGATAGATAGATAGAT